AATAGCGCTGGTAAACCATAACATGTAAAAAATGGTGCTCGAATAGTGCTGTCGATTGCAATTGGTCGATTGCAATTGGTTCGGAGACGCTAGCACTATTCGTTCAAAGTTGAAAAATCGATTTTTCGGTACTTTTGTATGGGAGGTATGTGAAATTTTAATTTTTTCTACACAAATATACGTCGGAAAATAGTGCTGGAATAGTGCTGGCGAATGGCGTTTCCAGATTGTAAAAATGTTGACTGGTGGTCGAGCACTATTCGTCGAAAGTTGAAAAAAATCGATTTTTCGTTACATTTCCATGGCAAGTGTCCGAAATCGATTTTTTCGTATGATTACTGGCTCTATGACTCCTGTTCGGAAAAGTGGAACAGTACACTCAAACCATTCTCCGTACAAATTTTGAGTTTTTCACTCCAAATAGGAGCAATACACAATACGCTCCGTGTCTAATGAAAATTGGCGCCTAATTTGAAAATTAGACACGATGTAAGGGAGCTGGTGTCTAATTTGACAAAAACTTGAGTCAATATGGAAAAAAACATTTGTTGCGAAAAACTCAACATGTGTTGGAATTCGACACTTTCAAACATTTTGACACGTAAAAATCAACTCAGTTTTCTCTGTGAACCTGCAAATGTTTTTTAATCAGCTTTTAAGGGGAATATATACTGATACCATTTTGGATTCCATTTTTCTGGTCTTTGGACTGCGCTTTTTATGTCTTGTCACAACGAAGGTTGGAAGATAATCATAGGTTATGTTCCCCAACGATAATGACATGAAGAATTTAAACGATATACATCGCATACACTCACACAATGGTGACAGCTACGGCTATACACACCGATACACATTGTTTCGAATATTTGAATTTCGCAACAAGACACTGTTTTCTGTTTTGAAAGTTCTCGTTCAACAAATTTAACGAATCCTTTATTTTTTCTTGATTTGATAATTTTTTACAAGCCTTTTCAAGCGATTTTCAACTGAATTTCAAGAAAAGTGATATTTTACAGTGTGAAAAAGTGAATGGTGAAATTTCCTCTGAAATTTCCTTAGAACCGTACATTTTCAATGCACTGGATATAAAGAAGGTTGAACATTCATGAAATTTTCAACTTGAGTTTTTGCAATTCGACAAGATGAATTTGCAGGGTAAGTTTTTTGAATTTGAATTTTCTATATAAGATCTGAGAACACCGGACTGGATATTTTGTGCACTTTTGCCATTCACGGTCAACAAATGACTCATGTTTCTTTTGATTTGTTTTCTTTTTGTAAGAACTCCTTTTCTTTTCTCTCTTTTGACTCTGTTGAAAACTCTTTCTCTTTTATTTTCTCCCAATTGCATATGTCTGCGCACTGACGAGCCTTTAGAGGCGAAACATATGCATTTTTTCTTGATTTGACCTCAACGGTCTTTTAATTGGCAATTCACTGGTGATTCGCTTGGGCCCTATAGCACAACAATTTTATTTTTATTTTATTTATATTTATTTTTATTTTTATTTTTATTTTTATTTATTTTTATTTATAAGTGCATACGAATATTACTTTGCTAAATCGGTGATTCATAATGTTCCGTGGGCACCAAATTTTATTTGCCTAACCTGTAAAAATTCATTGGATCGTTGGTGGGCAAAGCAAACACATTCACTTCCATTTGCTGTTCCAATGGTGTGGACCGATCCTGGCTTACATCAACAACAAAACTGTTACATTTGTGCCAACAATATACTGAGTGTCAATCGGATTATTGGATTATTGGAAAAATGCAGGGAGTCAAAGACTCGTCGCTCAGGCTGAATTCAGTCTATTGCGAGACGCCCGCTAGTAACATCTTTGAAATCGATGTACTTTTTGTAATCAATCCGATCCGTTCGAGTCGAAATTATGAAATATCAAAAATTTGTTTAAAGCAATGGTGTTGTTTACACGCTTCGTGGTAATATTTTACGATCTTGTGTATGTCGAGTGCATTTCGCGGCAGTATCACAACGTTTCCAAAGGTCCTGCTACGTACTTCACTGAGCCTTTCACATTCACAGATAATATGCGTTTTCGTTTCCGTTCCCCTTCCACAGAGTCTGCAGTCAGGGTCGTCACGAAAATCCATTTTTCTGAGGTGATAATAGGTTTTAGCGTGGCCTGTGGTAAGGCCTACCGCTATTCTTGTATCTTGCTTTGTTAAACACGTTAATTGTTTGGTCACTTTTTCATGTGGGTGTAAAACGAAAGCCTTCGTTTGCTCACATCTAAAGTTTCCTTGCCAGTTAAGTTTCTGCCGTTGATTGAGCCATGTTGAGGCCTCTTTCTTTACCAGTGAGTAGCTCACCGAAAGGAATGGCTCCGGCCCAATCGCACGAATGTCAGCTGCTTTTTTGGCTGACTCGTCGGCTATATCATTTCCACGAATGTTAGAGTGGGAACGAATCCAGATCACTCGAACTGTGTTGTTCAAAGTAATCTGTCGTAAAATTGATCTACATTCCAAAGCAATGCCATAGTCAACCGTACAGTTCTTTATCGCCTTTATAGCCGCAAGGCTGTCCGTGAATACCGCTATATTTCCCTGGATGTTTTTTTCAATTATGCGTTTCCCACAATAAGTGATTGCATAAATTTCTAATTGTTTGACAGTTGGTGTGGTTCCCATCGACACAGAAATCGAGACCTCTGCATTCTGATCGTATATGCCTATACTTCCTCCAGTATTTTTCACAGATGCATCTGTGAAGAAGGCTGCATCGGCCCACTCGAACTCTCTCCAGAAGTCGTTTAGGTTCTCGGTGACAATGGTTTTCACATCATTGTCAAATTCATAAACTGTTTTTTCTAGCTTGTCACAAGGTGCTTCAAAAATGCTATCGATGTTGTATAGATTTTCGATTGCACTGTTATGGGTAGTTCTAGAATACGGATTAATTTTTATTAATGATCTTAGCCTGTAGGCCGTTTTCATGGCCTCGGCTTCGATATAGTCTTCCAGTTTTGGTAAATTGAGTAACGCGTCTAGCGCTGCTTATGGAGTGGTGCTCATTGCACCAGTCATACACATGCATGCGACGCCAGACAAAATACTGGTAGAGCAGAAATCGCGCGGCGCGGGATAAAGTTCTCTCTCTCTCCTTTCCAACACATTTAATAGAATTTATATTAAATAAACATATAACATATAAACATTTTTAACAATGGATATTTATTCCAACGACCACTTTCAATTGCTCAACTATTAATCCATTTAAGTTAGAAAACCAGTTATGCTTTCTCATTTTCAAATTATATTATGTTAGAAATAAAAAAAACAAGAAAGAAAAAAAGATAAAACCTTATTCGGGTCGTATTTTCTCTCGCGTACTCGAAGAAACGACCAAAAAAGATAAGACCAGAGAACTTCTTCTTGAGAACATAGTATATTAAATTTTTTGTTTGCTTTTCAGCAAATTATTTAATGCGCACTACATGAAATGGTTGTTTACTTATACAAATATGTTTTTTAAGTTAATTCCCCTATGACAATAATTTTTCACTCAGTTCTCCTAAAAATGAACTGAAAGTTCATTTTTCTCTAATGATCCAATTATATTAAATAACAAAATTGATACATTTTATGGACTGAAGTATAATTCTAAAATTGGCCTCAAAACGTTAAATTAACGAGAACAATAGCTTTACACTTCATGTAGTGCTAAAAAGAAGATAGATAGAGAGATAGAATGAAAAAGAGAGAGAGAGAGATCACAGAATCGAAACAAGCACGTAATTTTATGTCTGTAAGTAAGGGCAGACGAACGAAATGATTAAACTATGGTATTGTATAACTCTTACCCTTGATAAAAAAATCCATTTTTTTTAACCGATAGTGAAAAAACGTAAAAATTCGAGTGAAATATGGAGAATTTGTGTCAAAAAAAAAATTTTTATGTACAAAACGGAAACAACAACCTGTACGCTCAGTACAAATATTTGGTCTTAATGTCAAATCTCTGAATCTGAACGCGCTCCATGAAACATCACGCCTGCGTTTTGCGCTTTGATCGGATTCAGTGGAGACGGTCTACTCTTTGTGAAAGATGCGATATGTAATATTTCTTATTTTTTGAAAAAACCAATGAATTTAATTAAAATCATGTTTTGTTATGATTTATTTTTGTTATAAATTATTATTGTTTATCAATATTTCACACAATTATGAATGATAATAAAAAAATCTGTGACAAAGCGGTCGTCAATTCTAAATCACATTGAATATAAATTGAATAGCTTAAACTGAAATGTTGACGTGCTTTTTTCTCCATCGGCCGCTCGCTTTGTAGTGAAATCCATTAAGATTTTCATAATTTCAGATATGAAAAATAAATTCGGAGCGATGGTCGTTGAATGTATTCAAATAAAGCGCAATGAAAATTGTAATTCAAAAAATAAACAAACCAAAAATGAAATACATCCTCTGAAAATGGTCTTGTGTATTTTTATTTGTAAAGGATAATTAGTTCTTAGTTTTCAGTCGAACATGCTCTGTTTACGCATACTGCATTGCACTGTATGTTTGTTTACATTCAGGAGAGTTCAAATGAGTTCATATCTTTACGACACAAGCCAGCTACTTTGACCACTTGTTAAAACGACTATTTTCGTCAATTTCTTGCTATTACTTGCACTTTAACCATTGCTAATATCAGACGGGGAAAATATTCTAATTTTAAAAGATTGTTTCAAACGGTGTAATATTTTAGAAAATGAATGGTAAGATTTTTTATAAAAACTGTGCCAGATTTTCAGATTGAATGTTGTATTGTGCAATAAAAATAATTTTCATCGTTTTGAATCAACTGAAATTTGTGATAAAGCTGTCATTTGTGTTAATTCATTTTGTCTGCGTTTTTGTTTCAATCTTAGCCATTTCTTTGTCACTAAAGAGGTGTACAGGGAGTAGAAATCGATGTTCATATGGATTGTGTGAAGAAAATATACATCTACAGATTCTCAGTCGAAACATGAGGCTAAAGATCCTGAAAAAACATCGAATTTTCGTACCAGCTTCATCTCACTTCTGTGCGCAACACAAAGATGCCTCATGGAACGATTATCAGACACCGATGTATAATTACTCGAAAGATCAAGTTGAAGAAATGGTCGATTTGCTATTAAATGATGAAAATCTACCAGAAATTCGAGCAACGTCTGATGACGAAATGCGCACCTGCACCGGATTGAGTCATGCTCAATTTGATATTCTGTTGTCTGAACTTCCAACTTTAACAGCAACATACAAAAGCAAGGATATTGCCAAAGTTGTTCTAATGGCATTTTTGAAGCGAATGAGAACCGGTCATACGTATGATCAAATAAGATACAGCCTTGACCTCAGCTATAAAACAGTAAAAAAGTATATCAACGCAGCACGTGCATCATTGCTATCTGATTTTGTGCCAAAACACCTGGGATTTGGAACATTTAGCCGAGAGTTTTTAATTGCAAATACCACCGAAATGGCAAAGCGATTATACACATCTCAGGATGACACTTTGGTGACAATTTGGGATGGAACGTATATATATTGCAATAAAAGTCAAAACCATGAATTGCAACGACGCACCTACAGCGGACAGAAGTGTCGAAATTTAGTTAAGCCGATGGTTTGTGTTTCATCCAATGGGTTATACATTGACATTTTTGGTCCCTTTGAAGCCACACAAAATGATGCATCAATCATGAAATTTGTGTTTGATAAACATGCTGACCCAATTATGAACAAGTCTAAGCCTGGAGACGTTTAATTGCTCGACCGAGGATTTCGTGATAATATAGCTATGCTTACACAACTCGGTTTTGTTGTTAAAATGCCAGAATTTGTGCATAAGGATGATGAAACCGGCCAACTTACGACTATGAAAGGTAATTCGTCGCGTTTAGTCACAGCAAATCGATTCAGTATTGAAGCGAGAAACGGGAACATAAAAACCATATGGCATGTATTTGACACTCGTTGGTGTGCATACGATCTCACGCATTTCATGGATGACTATCGAATCGGAGCGGCTCTCATCAACAAGTTTTTCAATAAAATTCATCCTAACAAAAACGATGCTGCTGAAATGGCTGATAGAATGCTGAACCGAGTGAATGTTCCAAATGAATTGCAAGCTATCATATCAAGCAATCAATTTCAACGCGAAATAAAAGAGTTTATTGTTGGCATATTGGATAATTTGGAATTTCCGAGAATGACTGAAGACGAACTGAAGAGAATTTCTCTGGGAAATTATCAAATTAAATTGATGTCATCGTATTGTGTTGAACACATGAAAAATTCAGACGATCAATTTTCATTTTATGTATGGAACAAAGATAAACATTCAATTTTCTTCCGCGATATTATCGCAAGAAACGGCATTGTCAATCCGATTTTAATTTTGGTTGACCTACATTCTCGTTTTCGCAATAGAAAACAATACCGAGTGTATGTTTTGGCTGACGCAGCTATCAATGGCTCTGAAGCTATCCATGGATATACTTGTGAATGCCGACATGGACTACGAACCGTTGGATGCTGTGGTCATATAATGGCCGTGATTGGATATTTGGGATTCTTTCAACATAATATTGAATCATTAAAAGAAGTATCAGCATTTTTGAATGATTTGTTCGAAGAATAATTGCTAAAAAAATGTTATAATTTGTCAAGAGTAATTTCAGAAACTGTAATACAATCATTTGTCAAAGATATTTGTTTAAATAAAATTCAAAAATAGAGGCAAATTCCTTTGGTGTTGACAGATATGCTTTAATATTTAAAGTGGTGTTGTTGTTGAATTGTCACAAATATATGCATTCAGAATACGTCATTCGCACTGTAAACATTGAAATCTTCCACCAAAGTTGTTGTCCAACAAAACGAAACAAAACAAGCACCGAAATGAGTGAAGATAAACGTCGAGGTAAGAAATGTGGATTAGAAAGATGAACATTATTTTTGTATTGAAGCATCATTAAAAAATTATTCATATTTGTTTATCAGTGACTCGTCAACTCACAAAAGATGCAGAAAATGCTTTATTCTACGATGAAGCATACCGCTTGCCGGAATGTTCCGTGCATTTGCGCATTCTAACACCGCAGCAAATCGCTAATTTATGTCGTCCGAATCGTCCAAGCAGAACGCGCCCGCGCGTCATACAAGTGTCGAATGAAGTCAATGTTCAATCAATTGACCATGAAAGTGTGTATTTGAAATTGAATAATTAATTTCAAAATTTCATATACTGTGAATCAAAAGAAATTATGTTTTGAATTCATTCGTTCTAGCGCATTTGCACGTACAACGGATCGCAAAGGAACATGACTATAGTGCGCCGCCGCAGTGAACGCGTTACGTGTCATTCCGAGAAATCGATGAAAAAAATACAGTTATTTCGTTAAAAACTTGAAATAATAAATAAAAATCTACATTTCAAAATTTAAATTTGAATTCTAATGTTCGTTGTTTCAATTTCATACCATGAGATTTTCAAGCTCACAAAAGCTAGTCATAGTAGCCTTGCAATTTCAAAGATGGCGCCAAAATGATTCAAAAAAAATAACAAACGTTCAACTTCGAAATAAAGTCAATGCATTTGTTCATTTTTCTTTCACAAATAAATACAAAAAAAAATGCAACGAAAACATATTTTTTTCTATGTTGAACCATTTAATTTGATTTTTTAAAGAAGAAAAAACAAAAAACTTGTGTGTTGCATTGCGTGTGCGTTCATTTTTGTCGTTTGATTTGCAATAAACGCGTTCTGAGTGACATATTGACATTGTATCGATTGTACACACTAAGACGCGTCTGTTCTCCCGCTCGAACATTTATAGTAAACAAAAACGCACTACACGTATCTTTGTACAAAATTAGCATACGCTCAAAATATCGTGTTTTACCATCTAATTAAAACCGACAAAAAAGTGTTCAATTTCGCCGAAAAGTGTTTAAACTCAAAATATGAACACAATTTGTGTTATTTGTTTTGATTCAGGTGGATTGGATCGTGTTACACCATGTAACCATACTTTCCATAACCATTGCATTTCACGTTGGCTTTGGATGTAAGTATATTTTGTTATATTTTGTTCTTCGTTTTTCTTTACAACGCTTCTTTCTCTTCGTTTTCTTATATTTAACAAAAAAAAAGTCAACTGTGTCAAAATAATTTCATATCTTATTTCATCTCATTTCGTTTCATTCATTTACTTTTTTCCTCAGCAAACCACGTTGCCCAATGTGTAATCTCAGAACTCGTGATCTCATCAATTATGTTCCACCAGTCGTTGTTGCTGCACCTGTTGCCGTTGCTACTGTGGTCGTGCCTGTTATCGAAATCTCAGATGATGACGAAAATAACGACAACAACGACAACAATGCACAACGAAACCGACCAAATCGTCGTCGTCCACGAGAATTCGAAATGAATGGACCAGAATGGTGGTTTTTATTTCCAAGGGATCGCCGCAATGTTCAACGTTTTGGTTTCGAACGAAAATCATGTGTCATTTGCCAAAAAATACTCGTCACAAGTGACAACAAGGCATTGTGTGCCAATTGCACACGAATCTTTGATTAAAAACAAACAATTTGTTTTTTTTTGCTTCAAATGAGATGAAATCTTAATCCGAGTAATGTTTAACATTGATTAAAAATAAACAATAACAAAGTCATGTCGAACATTTCATTTGAGTTTTTTTATTTCGGAGCATAATATATATTGATTGAAATACATCTATAAAAGTGCACAACAGATGGTGCTGATGCCCAAGTACAACTAACTTTGCGTCTCCACACATACGTAGTGAAGAGCGCGTTCAGAATAAACTGTTTGACATTTGGGATTGAAATCCAACAAGTTGTTTGAGTCAGAAAAATAAATTTTGTGTAGAAAATTTGAAATTTTATCTGCGAATCCGAAATTTGAGTCAAAAAAATAAATTTCGAGTAGAAAATTTGAAAAATTGAGTTAAATTTCGGAAAATCGTGTTGCACAATTCGAGTGAAAAAAATAAATTCTGTGTAAAATTCTGTAAAAATTGAGTCGAAAATGAAAAAAATTGAGTGCAAATTTTTAGTAAATTTGAGTCAAAAAGTCGGAAAATTTGTGTCAAAATTAGAAAATTTGTGTGCGAAACGGAATTTTGTGTGCCAATTTGGGGGAACCATAAAAAACCCGACAAAAATCAATAAAAAATGGTAGAAAATCGACATCATTGACGTCAAATCACCTCTTCTTCGAGAAAAACGCATGAATAGACAATAACACATTCGGAAAATTGAAAAAAATCATTTTTTCAACTGAATCCACCAACTTTCCAAAATGATGTTCTGGGTTTATCTCGGCTCGCCAGCCACTAAAAACTGAGCTTCATGTGTAGAATCGTTCATTCCAAAAATTGTAAATGTTACTACAGTGTGATGAGTCGACACATTAAGCGACGACCATTTGAATCACTCAAAAAATGAAGGGTCGTGTATTCCATTTGCCACTTGAAGTGGCCCACTTCCAATACTTGAGAATACTCTAAAGAAACTACCAGACAGGGCCTTTTTCCTCTTTGTGCGAGTTCGTGCAATGCACGAGGGCGCAAAGGATCTGAGGGCGCCAGCGTTCAAAGAGCGCAACAATTCGAGAGCTAAAACACAAGCCTATTCGTGAGCTTTCAAATTGTTCCGCTCTTTGGACGCTTGCGCCCTATTTTATTTGTTTGCATAGAGCGCTGGAGCGCCTTTTCTGCTCACTTTGATTATGAAATTTTGCTGAAAAATTTTCTTTTCTATATGAGCGCCCAAGCACTTTCGGCACTCTTGCGCAGAGACTTTTCTACCCTGACACGAAGTTATGTAATGAATTATGGTGCCGCTGAGGCACCGCAGGCCCAAAATAATACATCATTTCTAGGGGCGCACATATAAAATTTGCACAAGGGCGCCAGGGGAGTGAAAAAAGGCACTGCTACCAGAGGCAACTGACGCCATTATCAATGATCAAGAGTTGCTTATTCTTGTTCGAAGCATTCCAAGCAACAAGCAAAAGATTTGGCAAACATATGTTGATGTTATAAAAAGTGCATAAAGCTTTGGAATGGCTGAAAGAAAATAATCCGCTTTATAAAGAAATTGATTTACCAACCGATTCAGCTAATTTGGATGCATTTATCAATATATATATAAATCTATGGGTGAGATTGAGAGTGGAGTATGTTTTTTCTTCGATTCATATTTTTGAAAAGGCAAGTATGTGTTCTGATGATTCTGTTGGCGTTAAAGTAGAGTATGTTGGCGTACCGTCCAGCCTCCGCGGTTTTCACGGTTTCCGCGCAACTGATGAGAGATAACAACATGGTGTCTTCGGCAAAGTAGCAGTACTCCAGGTCCTCTATAACTTAGCTAAAGACAGTTATCTCTTATCAGTCGCGCACAAATTTCATATAAATAAGCAAAATTTATATAGACATTTTTTTAAATAATTTTTCGCGCTTTTCACGAAACTGATAAGAGAGTCAGTTCATAGTAAACATTCATGCAAGTAGGACGTCATTTGTGGAAATATACTAAACAAGTAAATAAATCGTAAAGTGTGCATAAATTATCAAGCTAAGCATTCAAAGAGAGTGACGTGCCTGAAATTCAATACTTGCTGCGAGGATTTCCTTATTTTTGTTTCCAGTTCATAATGCCTTTTCCAAAAGGCTCTCTTAATGAAAGAAAAGGGCCAAAAGCCGTACATAAAACTGTGCTCCAAAGATTGAA